TGCAATTGATTTATTGTCCCGTAGTTTAAAATACTATACAATGTTAATAGATTAAAATAATTCAAACACTAATTGTTCTACCGGTACAACCGTTCATCAAGTCTCCAGAATATTTTTGTATTTCAAATGCTTCGACGTATTTCCTCTCCTCGTCGTTCACGATATTAGCATGTAAAATCTTCCACTTTATTGTAGGTAACTTTGATTTCTTGTGGGATTCCAAATGTTTATAAACCTTCTGCTTTTCCATTGTGAAGTGTTCTTAGATCCGTGATCCAATTGTTCATCCCGTTTCCCCAATGTAAACAATTCCACATATTGAACATTCGATTTTGTAAACTACATTCTTCTTAAGGCAAAGGTTCGGTTTAGAAGATCACTTGCACGTTTCACATTCGCCCTGGCAGTTCTGTTTAGTCTTTGGTGGAGCAAAAACATTAGATAGGGGTTGACCGTTGGGAAAATGTAATCTTATATTCGGTATTCGTGATCGCTTTACTACCCTTATAGCTTGCCGTTTAAAGTCTTCGTTGATAAATGGTAGCTTTACATAGGTAAATTGCTGTTGTTCTAATTCCTCCGGTTCGTTATCTTACTTGTTATGCCGTTGTCTGTTTTTATGAATCGTTCTTCTAATTATGGAAGTAGTAATATAGGGCCGTTGGACCGGGATTTTTTTGAGGAGGAGGAATGAGGAGTGAGGAGGAGTGAGGAGGAAGAGTGAGGAGCTCGAGTGAGGAGGAGGAGTGAGGAGCTCGAGTGAGGAGGAGGAGTGAGGAGGAGGAGGAGGAGTGCGGGTGAGGAGGAGGAGTGTGAGGTGGTGGAGTTTGAGGTGGTGGATGTCCACCACCTCATTTATAATTAGTATACAATACGTCATAATTAATGCGTAATGACGTCACTCATTAATATACGTTATAATTATATGCATGACGTCATGCGGGCGAGCTTAAACAGGATCGGACAAGACTTGCTGACCACGCATTTTTTAGCGTCTCGCCACGTGTGTGATGCAATAGAGGGATTAAGATTGGCTTACTATGATTGGTTGTTTGATTTAACGAGCGTCTGTAAAAAATCGATCGACAAGCGTCTTGTAATAAGCATAGTTCTACATTTGACAACGCTTAGTTCTATATCGGTCATGGAGTGTCTATATGGTAAAGCTGCTGCCTCTACAACTACAAACAATGGTACATTTTGGTTTTGTGGGGAAAAACCAAGCTGTGAGTTCTTTTGCCCAGACGAAAATTGTTATATGTATACGAGAGCTGTAGCTGCGTTTCGTGCAAGTGGCTCTATACATCTCGTGTGTCCTACACATCAGAAATTTGCCAAGCTATGTGTGGTCAAAGACACAATGAAAGAAAATTATGGACGACCCTTCTTCGTATGTTCTGAGCGAAAGAATCCCTGCAAGTTCTGACAATGGGGAGACGTATTTGAAAGTCTGAGCCCGTTATGTCAACATGGAATGGTGTGCTGTTAACGAAAAATTAAGAAAGATGGTCCGAATCAAAACCGTCTGTTTTACTGCTGTCCGAAGGAAGACTCTTGTGGTTTCTTCGAATGGAAGCAACAAGAACCTCGTGTAATCAACACTGGCATCGTGCTCTTCAGTAATCCACTAGAATACCAGTACATGATTGAAGAAACAGGAGAGACTTTTAATAGTACTAAATCTAACACTAAGGAGGCCTATGATGAATTTCGCAGATTTGGTTTAACAAGTGAACTTGATAAAATAGAGTAATAATAATGACGTTGCTAGTTAATTAATGTAAATTTGCGTATATTTACTGAAATAAATACTGTGTGTCTCATTTGCTGTTCAGTCGTTGTGGTGAGAGTATCATGGATAATATAGATATAATTTTGATGAGTTGAAACAAAATGAAATTTATATTGATAAGCAAACTTTATCGTTTCATATAAATACAATTCTCGACTGAAGAAGTGTTCACGGTAACGAAACGCGTACCTCGGCGACCACTTGTGTACAAGATTGCAGATTATGACGATGAAGAACTGGAAGGAACATTTTACGAGCAGGAACTTCAGAAAGTCAACAAATCAGACAGTGACTATTACAGAATAGAAAAAGTAATAAGATCACGAATGCGTAATAAACGTAAAGAGTATTATGTAAAATAGTTGGGTTACCCTCGCAAGTTTAATTCTTGAGTCCCAGCAGAGAGTGTAAAAGATCTGAAATAAATGTATCTGAAACCGTCATAACTTGTGTTCATTTGTGTTTTGGTCTTCGATATGGCAACACAGTTTTATCTCACGTTGCCGATTAATAGTTCTCTGGCTTATTTTCAAAATAATACAGTGGCAAATTTTCGAGTGAAATTGGCAGAAGCCATTGTCTTGCCAGGGCAATGGGAAGTCGCATTGACGGAGCTACATTACCCACATACGTGGAACACGCTTAAACGTGGAGTGCAACAAACGTTTTTGTATAAAAATGGCAGCAGCCCTATCAAACTGTCGTGCTTAAAGAAACACAATATTCTTCGATTGAGCAACTAACAAAAGCACTCAATGCCGGCATGTCAAAAGAAACACAGACGAAAGTGAAGTTTAGTTATAATCGCAGTTCTCGCAAAGTTTTGGTTGATGTAAAACACGGCACAACTGTGTGGTTTCCCGGAGAATTGGCAACCGTCTTGGGATTTGACCAGGACACTCTTATTGAAAAGAAAACTTCGAGTCCCTATCCTGCAGATATCAATGGTGAATTTTCCTCCATGATGTATGTCTACACTGATATCGTTGATGCACAGTTTGTCGGCGATGTAAAAGCGCCTTTACTACGAATCGTTTATGTCGAAGGGGAATATGGAAACACCGTTCAGGCCAGTTTTCGTAATTTGCAATACGTACCGGTCAAAGTAAATTCTTTTGAGACCATTGAAGTGAATATAAAGAATGACCAAAACGAAAACGTCTCATTTGAGTTCGGGAAGTCAATCGAAACACTTCACATTAGACAGAAGAGATCTCAGTACTTTATCTAAAAATGCGCGGAAGACTAGTTGTAGACGAAAAACTATTGAAAGACCATTTCTTGAGACAACAGCGTGGCGGAAACATCGCTTAGTCTAGGACCTGTAAATGAGTTTGTATGCATTTCATTTAGGACAGATAATCTCAACTGTTTTAGGGTAAGTTGACCAGGACGGTCAACATGGTAACGCTGCCCGAACCCCAATCCGGGGCGAAACGTCCGAAACTGACCACACCCAAAAACG